TTCTACGACCCTTTCTATATCGAATGCCGCGCGAACGGCGCCCTCATTGAACGAGGTTTGAACGGCCAAATCCTCCCATTTTGTTACGGTTGGACAGATATACCTGATGCTGCAGAGCTACAGGTGGCTTCAAGATTTGGAATACAACCGTTTCTATGGGATAGACCAGAGAGTGTTGAACGCCAGCAGATACGGGGCATACTGTACGAGTGGGTTGATGGCCGGTCACTCACGCAGATCAAGATGACCTCGGACACTGCAAACCAAGCCCGCAAATTATTGAAGGCTTTGCATGACGTCGAAATTTTGCATGGCGGCGTGGCGGCCTCTAACTTCCTCTTTGAAGAATCAAGTCAGAAAGTCCACCTCATAGACTTGAGTGCTTCCATTAGACTTCCGCATATCTCAATCTCGAAGCAGGAACTGCAAGACAGACAGCAGAAGGAGAGACTGGCTCTGGAAGTTGGGTTTTCATTGCTCTCAGAAAATCCCATCAATCAGGGTGTTTGCGTTGCCGATTTCACCGGTTTCGACGTGGAGTCCAAGAAGAACAGCGTCGCTGACGCACGTTTTATAAAGCACCTTTTGGACTTCACCCAAACCTACTCGCTGGCAGCCGGTGCCACCCTAGTCGCAGCCGTGGCCACTTCCAAGATCCACCAAATGTGCGCTTCCACGCGCTTCCACACTACCTGTCTTGCGACTTTTTAACCTAAGAGCCAAGTTCTCCCAACCAAGATTCTACTCTCAGGAATGGCAACTGTGCACGAGGTACAGGTCTATCTGCAGAAGAATCAGAAACGATGTCTTACAAAACTTGAGTTATCTTTGCTGGTCTGGAAGAGAGCAAGAGGGCGCTATCCTAGGGCTGGAAGGAAGAGTGTTCATGCGGGGCGGGTCCGAAGCAAGGCCTTTCACCACACTCACACTTCGTCAAAGATCCGTTCGTAGACGCTTCAGAGTACAGTCGGATATGGAATTATCGTCATGGAGAAGCATCAATGGCCGGAACCTATCAAGACACTCAAGCGAGCCTTAGAAACCCTCCTCGCTCAAGCTTCCCTCCATAGTTTTGATTCCCGACAGTACCAAAACAAGTTAAAGAACACGACAGACAAGATTCCGGGGAGGGTTCAGCCAATACCTACTCGGATGGATGGATCACGAAAGCACTGATGCAGCTCTGAAGATTGATCGACTTGTCTGGGTTTGGGAAAAAGTATTGTTGCAGGTCTGTGCTCGTCTGTGCTCGTCCACAAGCACCACCACCACCTCGGGGAAGTATTCTCTTATTGGAGACGGTACTTGCGTTCTATTTCCTCATAGTGCGGGGTCATCGTGATCGTTTTCCGGCTCTTCTTCTCTTACGTTCGGAAACTAGAACAGCCGCCTCATGCTCTATCTCTTTGGCACGATGGCGAATGCGCTTGCGGCTGCTATCTGGGATCCATTACGATATTGCAGCTCAAAGGAGTTGTCTCGACTCGATGAGAGATTTGATTTCGCGCAGCAAGATGTGACTTGCCTTGTTTTTTGGACAGGCGTGCCGCCTGAGCTTGCCCGACGATGGGCAGAGGAACACGATCTGTCGACATTGACTCTCGCAATGGGTCCCTTATATAACGATCGCAATCCAGGTAGTGTGAGATATGGTAAGAACTCGAAAGCTTGGTCCAGGTATATG